AAGACCACATTGTGATTCTATGGCACATGTGATTTGAAGGTCTCCCCTAAACAACACCTTTTCCTTAGCTATTATGCTTCAATAGCTCTGAAATATCATCTCCACAGTCTGCATTTAGGGTGCTTTCACACCCACTGAATAATGCACTTTGCAACTGTGCAAACTGGCAAGATCCATTTGCAAACTATCCAAGTAGACTGCAAGTTCATTATTCAGCATGTGAGAAATATGGGCAGCTCTGATACAGTAGATCCAGAATTCATGTGGAACTCCCGTGCAGAATTCACCATTCAAACACTGAGATCTGGGCTCGCAAAACTAAGCATGTGAGAGCTTTGGGGCAGGCTTTAGAAGAAGAAGAGTTGGTTTTGTAACCCGCCCTTCACTACCCTAAGGAGTCTTGGAATGGCTTACAATCACCTTCCCTTTCTCTCCACACAACAGACATCCTGCAACGTTCCCTCTAAGCTGTGGAGTCTGGTGAGCAAAATTTCTGCTTTGTGAGCTACTGGCATTAAAGTTGTGAGCGAGCAATTTGGCTCCTGCCTAAATTAGTTTGCTCTGGAGCCCTCCTTCCTGAGCTGAGACAAAAATGTGTGAGCCGGAGGCTAAAAAACTGTGAGCTAGCTCACACTAACTCAGCTTAGAGGGAACACTGCCTGTGAGGTAGATGGGGCTGAGGAAGGAGTGGGGAATCCATTATCTGGGTCAGACCTTTCCCCCACCAGTAGCACCTCCATTTTGTCAGGATTCAGTTTGAGCTTGTTAGCCTTCATCCATTCCAAAACTGCCTCCAGGCACCTGTTCATGGTTTCCACAGCCTCCCTGGGATCTGTTCGTAGTGAAAGGTACCCCACCCCTGCAAGCAGTTTTACATAGGTCTTGAAAAGCATGAGGGACAAGATGGAACCGTGGAGAACCCCACAGAAGAAGAGAAGAGCTGGGTTTTTATACCCTGCTTTTCACTACCCGAAGGAGTCTCGGAGTGGCTCATAATCACCTTCCCTTTCTCTCCCCACGACAGACACCCTGTGAGGCAGGTGGGCCTAAGAGAGCTCTGAGACAACTGTGACTGACCCAAGGTCACCCAGCTGGCTTCATGTGGAGGAGCGGGGAATCAAACCCGGTTCTCCAGATTTGAGTCCACGGCCCTTAACCACTACACCAAACTGGCTCTCTACACCAAACTTTAATCACCTATCACCTCTCAAATCCTGTGCATCTGGCAGATCCATACAGGGAGAAGAGACAGGCATCCCCTCTGCTGCACCCGCAGTCTAGTTTCTCAACTGCAATTGAGTATACAGAACATTTTGAAACTAGGTAGTTTACACACCATTGACTTTCAAGTGTTTTAGCAGTACTTCAGAGCAAGAAGAAATGCTTTTTAAAGCAAATGCTAAAGGTAATACAAGTTGTTTACTGCCATAGGCAAGAAAAAAAATTCTGAAGATGCCTGCTCAGGAAAATAATCTCTGGATGTACGCACAGACATAGAGATGATGCATCTGTCCATTGACTTTGATCCTGAGCCGTATTGCCGCAAAAGAAGTTTGCTTGATTTGTTACATTAATGGAATTTGCACTATTGTTATCAAGGCACATTTCTAGTCATGTAATGTTGGTGGACAAGCTGTTTGTCATGGCTGATCAATCCTTCCTCTTTTGACTGTCCATATTTAAAGACTGTAGACTCTTGGGCACAGGGACCAATCATTTTGCTTATGTTACAGTGTAAAGCAACATGGATGATGATGGTGCTACCTATATGCAACAAAGCCAGTTTCCAGCAGTCTATCACCACTTTGGTGTAGTGGTTAAATGCAGTTCTCTAACCTGGGAGAACCGGGTTTGATCCCCCACTCGCAGCTGCTGGATGACCTTGGGCAAGCCATAGTTCTGTCAGAGCTGTCCTTGAAAAAGAGCAGTTTCTGTCAGAGCTCTCTCAGCCCCACCCACCTCACAGGGTGTCTGTTGTGGGGAGGGGAAGGGAAAGGAGTTTGTAAGCCGCTCTGAGACTCCTTTGGGTAGTGAAGGGTGGGGTATAAATCCAATCTCTTCTTCTAAGAAACAGAACCCAGAGAAGAGCTATGCCAGAGGTTAGCTTGTTACTCAATAGCCAGGGAGTATTAGCAGCCTCCTAAACTATAATGTTCTATAAACCATAAGTTCGAGACCCGGGTGCCGCATGACGGAGTGAGCTCCCGTCTCTAGTTCCAGCTCCTGCCAACCTAGCAGTTTGAAAGCAAGAAATTGCAAGTAGATAAATAGGTACCACTTCAGTGGGAAGGTAACAGCGTCCCGTGCACCTTGGTGTTTAGCCATGCCGGCCACATGACCACGGAAACGTCTTCGGACAGCGCTGGCTCTTCGGCTTTGAAACGGAGATGAGCACAGCAACCCTAGAGTCGGATTCGACTGGCTTTTGAGCAAGGGAACCTTTACCTTTTTTAAACTATAATGGTGTTCAAGTAAAGCCATTTATTTATTGATTTGCATTATAGTCCCCCTTCCTCACTTGAACTCAAGGCAGATTACACAAAGTGATTCGATATTATCCGCAAGACAGGACATTCAATGGACACCACAATAGGATTAGGGTTGCAGAACCAATCAGATCTCTAAAAACAGAAGTAAAGCAAAGCATGACACGTTAACATGACACGTCATCATAGCAGGCACTGTAGTTAGAAACTATTAAGCTGCCATTAGAGACCGTTTTAAGTAATTTTATCTAGATGGAATTGTTATGTTTTTAATGAATTTAATACTTATTGTTATCTTGTTGTGAGCTGCGCAGAGACCGCTTGCGGGAGAGGGCGGGATATAAGTTGAATAAATAAATAAATGATGCAAGCATCACATAGTAGGATCCTCATTTCCGCAAGCTAAACAGAATAGTATAGATCACAGCCCCTAATCATTTCTCCAAGTAACTTTGGGGATCATTTAGTGCAGAGCAACTCTATTGCCTGCATAGAGAAGCCCTCTTGATTTCATTTTTGGCATAGTTTGCGGAAAGCCAGGAGAGTTTGAGCCTTCCCGACCTCCTCAGGCAGGCCATTCCACAAGGGGGGGGGGGAACCACAACAGAGAAGGCCTGTGTATGGGCTGGACTTGTCGATTTTTCCCATTTGCTCATTGGCACCTGCAGACCTGGCTCAGATGAGCGAAGCTGTTGTGGTGGTGGATGGGGGGGGGGGAGAGGCAATCTCACAGATATGAGGGTCCAAGGCCATGATGGCCAATCCCTTAAACTGAGCCCGGTAACTGAACTGCAGCCAGTGGAGTAGCTGTAGAATAGGAATAACATGCATGCTCTGTCTGGCTCCTGGTAATAGCTGAGCCTCAGCATTCTGCACCAACTGGAGTTTCCGGATTGATTTGGAGGGGAGCCCAATGTACACGGCATTACAGTACTGTTACTGTGGTGTGGATCCAGGAGACCAGCTCAGCCTTTTCAAGGTTCAGGGGCTAACGTTTCGGTTAGGCTGAGCTGGAAGAAAGCCTTTTTTTTAACATCTGCACTATCTTGCTTCTCTAGCAATAATGCTGGGTCCAGTATAACCCAAGACTTACCCAAGTCAGCAAGGATCAGCTGAACGGCACCAAAAGTGGGGAGCACAATGTCCTTATGAGCTCTGCCTTCCCAACCAGCATTACCTCTGACTTTTCAGGGTTCAGTTTCAATTTGTTCGCTCTTAGCCAGGCAGCGATTTAGGACCTTTACTGCTTCACCAAGAGATTTGGATAACGATATGCAGAGCCAGATGTCATCTGCCACATTGATGGCAACCAACCCCAAAACTGTGAATTATTTGTCCTAACGGCTTTACATAGAGATTGAAAAGCATGGGGGATAGAACTGCACCCTTGGAATTCCACAGGTTAGGTCCCACAGGGATGTTGATAACTGGTTTCCAATAGCAACCCTTGAGTCTGATCTATGAGGAATTATTTGGACCTCCTACAAAGGTGTGCAATGTGAATCTATGCAAAGACACATCCCGCATGTTCTAGGAATCCTTGCAATACCCAAGCTCGCTGCCTGCATATATGGCAGCCACCATAACAGCTTGGTTTCTAAGAGATCAGCCAAATAGAGTGGAATGCATCTTTTCCCACCACTCAGAGATCACTGAGCTCCATCTCCCCCCCAATTCTGTTCCTGTGAGGTTCAGGATCCTCAAGTATACTGCAAGGAGCAAACTGGAGGGAAGCATAAGTAGGAAATCAGAAGAAATAGCTGCACCCTTCTCTGTCTCCACCAACAGAAGTGCCTCTTGGGTCATCCTGTAAGCCTGAATCTTAGCTCCTTTTGCAGGAAATGTAGCTTCTGTATCCCCCCCCCCCAGCACTAACTGAACAGCATTCCAGTGTTATATACCCAAAAACCTTTTACTTAGAATATTTGCCTGCTTCCTCTCTGAAGGGACCCAAAGTAGGTAAACAGGAGAACTGATACAGTAAAAAATAATCTAGATAGAACCCAGCAGACAGAGGTGTATCTTGGGCCAGTCCTGGATCCAATGGGACAACTTCCAAAGCCACAGAGGACAAGCTAAAAGGCTATGAGCCAAGAGCTGGTTCGGCTCCTGCCAAAGGGTTCCCGCCCCTGGCCACACCCAAACTTTAAACCTGGAGACAGGAAGAGCTAACAAAAGCTCAGCACTGATGTGACCACTGGCAGCAACATTCCCCCCCATCCACCCTCCCTGCTTTAAGAAGTTTGACTTTCTGCAACTACCGACCTTAGGAGGAAAGACTGAAAGCCCTTGTGGTTGCAGAAGAAACAGGGACACCCGCCCTTTCCCCCACGGCTTGCAAGGGAAACAGATCACACAGATGATGTAACAGATGTAAACTATTTATTGAATATTTGCCACCAATATTATTAAATACATAATCTTGCAGTTTTTCGCTTTCAAGTTAAAATGTCAGAAACAGAACACCAAATATTTACAATTCTTATAAGGAATGTTACATAATGACACATTAAGGCGTAAATTCTTTTGGCTTATAATTCTGAAAAGAATGATAATAGCAAAAAAGTGATGCAAAATCTTCATCGTGAGATTATGATTAAGCTACAATGTTTTTACAAAAATATGGTGTAAGATGGCAATAAATCCCATTCAAAATCCTGCATTATGTCCCTCCAATTGGGACTGATAATTTATACAGTCAAAACTTTAAAGTTTACATATAAAGGTATCCTATCCACCATTGAAAAGTACAGCTCTCGACATATACAGTTTGTTTTGTTTTTTGTTTTTTTCAGGCCACAGTTTTGAAGGTCTGGAGTATCAAGTTGGTTTGATGAATTAGTCGGTTGGCACTTATGAACACATTTATTGCCCTGTTGTAAGAAAACAAAACATAATTCAGCCGCAAGACAAGAGACCATGAAACCATCAGGTGACTTTTGAGTGCATTCCATCATAAATCTAGACCCACAGAGAGAGGCACACATTTGGACTCCACAATAAGCAGAGGACAGGATTTAAACATGCCACACGCCCCCCAAGGGAATGAGAAGGGCGATTTTTGCAGACTTCTCCCTTCCTACGGCAGACCCACACCATGACCTGGATAGCCCCAGGCTAGCCTGATCTCGGAAGTTAACCAGGATTTGCCCTGGTTAGGACCTGGATGCGAGAGCACGAAGGAAGTCCAGGGTCACAACACAGAGGCAGGGAGTGGCAAACCACCTCTGGAGTCTCTTGCCTTGAAAACCCTATGAGGGTTACCGCAGGTCAGCCGCAACTTGATAGCGCCCTCCCTATCCCCACTTCTCCCCACATTGTTCTCAAGAATTCATTAACCACCTAGGACGATTTTTTTTTGGGGGGGGGAATCAGTGCGCTGCAAAAGGAAGGGGGTGGCTAGGAAGTCCCACTCCACCTGTTTCAGTACACTGGTGGCATTTGGTATCCAACCCAGACAACGCCCTGCAGCCTCTTTCCGCTTGCAACTAACAACTGTCCTGCATGCAAGGAGAACAGTGCTAGCACGGGAACAAGATCAGAGTCCTTCTGTATGAGATACCAAGAGACCTAGTGAGCTATGAGTCATGACAGGTTATAGAAGAGGAGAAGAGATTGGATTTATATCCTGCCCTTCACTACCCAAAGGTGTATCAGAGTGGCTTACAAACTCCTTTCCCTTCCCCTCCCCACAACAGACACCCTGTGAGGTGGGTGGGGCTGAGAGAGCTCTGACAGAAACTGCCCTTTTTCAAGAACAGCTGTGCCAGAACTATGGCTTGCTCAAGGTCATCCAGCAAGGTGCAAGTGGAGGAGTGGGGAATCAAACCTGGTTCTCCCAGATTAGAGTCCGCACACTTAACCACTACACCAAACTGGATCTCATATACCCTGGAAAATATTATTGGTCTTTAAGGTGCTACTGGAATTTTGTTCTACTACTACTGATTTGGATAGCCTAGGCTAGCCCGATCTCATCAGATCTCAGAAGCTAAGCAGGGTCAGCCCTGGCTAGTATTTGGACGGGAGACCTCCAAGGAAGTCCAGGGTCACTACGCAGAGGCAGGCAATGGCCTTTGAACGTCTCCTGCCTTGGAAACCCTACGGAGGTCCCCGTAAAACAGCTGTGACTTGATGGCACTTTCCACTACCAGACTGACACGGTTGCCCACCTGAAAGAAGGGCTAGCCGCAGTAACTTCCCCACAGCTTATTCTTTTAGAATTGATACTTCAAGCACAGGAGTGCTATCAAGTGACTACTACGCCTCTTCTTTTCAGCAGTACCATTTTAACCAATTCCTACAGTAATCTGTTTTATTTTCCAAATGTCCAAATGTTAGTTTCTCTCTCTATAAATCAACTGGAGGGATGACATGTGAAAACAGCAGTACAAAGGTTCAAACACAGCATGCATTAGCAGACCTCTTAACACCTGCGCCTCTGAAATAAGAGATTCCCATTCATGTGGAATGCAGAATGAGATTCTCTGCAAGACGAGGGTGTGACGAACGAGCACTTCCCTCCTACAGACAGGTGCAGATAAGGTGGCCTCACTGTGCGACACTACTGGAATGTACACCTCCTCCCCCCTAAAAACAAAATCAAACACCTCCTTGCATAGAGTACCAACAAGTGGCTTTTACATGTCATATGTAATTTATTTTATTGGGGGGGGGGGTATTTTTCATATGTGCATATGTGTGTGTGTGTGTGTGTAAGTGTCCGCACACACCTGGAAATCATGGCAATCTCTGGTGACTGATCCCTACGGAAGGCCTGGAGGATATTCAGAGAGGTGGTGGAATAAAACCTGCCCCCGCCTCCCGACTGCTGGTATCTCATCCATGCAGGGACTTGCCAGTTTGGTGCAGTGGTTAAGTGTGTGGACTCTAATCTGGGAGAACCGGGTTTGATTCCCCACTCCTCCACTTGCACCTGCTGGTGTGACCTTGGGTCAGTCACAAGCTCTGGCACAGCTGTTCCTGAAAGAGCAGTTTGTGTCAGAGCTCTCAGCCCCACCCACCTCACAGGGTGTCTGTTGTGGGGGGGGGGAAGGAAAGGAGTTTGTAAGCCGCTCTGAGACACCTTTGGGTAGTGAAGGGCGGGGTATAAATCCAATCTCTTCTTCTTCTTGCCAGAAGCAACCCTACTTAGCTTCCGAGATTTGGCTCGCCTGGGGTATCCAGGTTAGAGCGCCATATGCCATTTAAAGCACCACGATCAGATAATCAAACACCCAAACAGCAAATAATTATGAACCAGACCAAAAAGAAGTCAGTCGAATTCCTGGCAAAACAAAAGGTTGGGAGGCCCTCAGAGAAGACAGGCAGGCAGGGGCTTCTCCACATATCTTAAAAGTCATGTGACTCCAGAGTCCGAGAACCATCGCAGCAAGAGCTCCATTTCTCACCTCTTGCAAATGGGGGGGGGGGGGGATACAAAGCAAGGCAGAATATAAGGAGAGGCTGTTTGTTAAGCATGCAGGCCCCAGGCCATGATGGGCTGCACAGCACCTAGCATTTGGCCTGGGCTAATCCAACACAGTACAGGTGGAATCTACAAGCACACTCTGCTGCCCGAGAAGCTTGAGTTTGTACCCACTGAGTCAGCAGAGCAGTCTGCAAGGACCCCTCCACACACAGCGTGCTGCAGTAACGCACACTACAATACATAACTTGGATCCAGACAGCCATATTGGTCCAAGGGCTTGCTGCTGCCTACTGGACATTTTGACCCACAACAGCAACACCCCCCCACACACACTTTTGAAATGACCCCGAGGTTCAAGATTGATGTACCATGATATGGCAGGGTCCTGTGTAAGGAACAAGAGCCCAAAGCTCCTTGAAGTGTACAGAGCCAGTTATGCAGCTGTTCTGCTTGTGCCAGGTACATTAGGATTGCTTTAATTTACTTGGTAGACTCTCTAAGCCTACCTCACACCAGAAGCAGATATTAAAACAGAGATATGATTAAACCGCTGAGTGTATATAAACACACTTAAAATTTGTGTACAAATGGCCTGTAACTGGAACGGCGGGCATGAAATTTAGCTTGTGTGTTTTGAAGACTGCTGGAATCAAAACAGCAAATATAGGACAAATACAAATCTGCAAACTGCTGCCTTGAGCTTTCCCACCCTCCATGTCCGCCACTGGAAGTAGCAGGACCGAGCATCTAGTTTGCTATCAGCATTTCATCCAGTCTGCTAACCTCGTGCACCCCTTTTGGTTTGCGATTATCCTTGGTCAGAGCATATGTTAATTTTGTTTCTGTTGACTGCTCAAGTCCTGGGCTACTCAGGGCTTAATAAGAATGTCTTAACATAAACTTTAAATAAACTACTCATTGTGGAACACTAGAAAGGTTTGTGTATTAGCACGGCTGGGTTAGCTTTAAGGACCATGAACCAGGTCAAGGAACAAATGGGATTACTTCCTCTTCACTTCTCAGCGCTAAAACTGCTGCTCAGTGGCTTCTGCTACTGCTGCCTTTGGGAAAGTTGCAATGAGCCTACTTCTACATGACAGCTGCACAAAGGCAAGTCATTGCTTGTGGACCCCTTTCTCATACTCACACAGTGGTATGGGCCTGACTGGCTGATCCCATGATGCTGGAGGACACGTGTGGTATTCAGCAGCCAAATGGGTGGAGGCCAAGTGCTACCTGGACCACTGATCAGGTGGGAAAGTCCTGCACAACTCTCTGCACCTGTGCATTTAATTCACACACACCCCAGCAACATGGGGAATCATTCCACATACAAGCAATGCTCCCTCTAAGCTGTGGAGTCTTGTGAGCAAAACTTCTACTTTTTGAGCTACTGGCATTAAAGTTGTGAGCAAGCAATTTAGCTACTGCATCAATTAGTTTGCTCTGGAGCCCTCCTTCCTGAGCTAAGACAAAAATGTGTGAGCCAGCGGCTAAAAAGCTGCGAACTAGCTCACAATAACTCAGCTTAGAGGGAACACTGCTTACAAGCATATCATTCATCATCGTGTATGTGCAAGATAGAAAGCAAAGAGGGCATGTTAAAAAATGCTTTAACCTGGCTGTAAGTGCTTCCTTGCGGAATCAGATGAAGTGCACTAACATTCCTTTCAGCAATAGCCAGTCTGATGCTTCTAGGTACTCAACAAGCACAATTGGGCAGTGATTGCTTTTCTACTAGTTAGATCTGGTATAAAGAAGCACACTGCCTCTATACATGGGAGATTCCATTTAGCTATCACAGCTAATAGCCAGTCAGACTGTCACTTACTTGACCACGCATGGCAACAAATGCCAACCTCGTTGAGCCTGTGGGCACTTTCAGACTGTGAAACCAGGTAAGAGAGGCAACCATGAAATGGCTGCCAGGGAAGGGGGCAGAGCCAGCCACAAAGTTGGCTGCTTTGATGGACTGGGACCAACTGTATGCGACACACAGAAAGAAGACTCTGGATTCCTTGGGGATTTAGGGGGAAATAAGCATGGTTACTGGGAGAGCCAAAACAAAAGCAACCACTTTACAAGCAGGATGACACAATCCCCCCTCCCCCCCCCCGGCTGCCCTAACTGATAGCTAATGAACAATAACCAGTGCTAAGGATACACTTGGCTGGCAGGAAGCAGAAAGGGAAATAAAAGAAAAGAATCAAAGCCAAACCAATTTCATTTCTTTTTAAAAAATACTTACTTTCCATCTTTAAAATAGGTTTTCAAAGTGTCGCTGAAACTTTTGGAGTATTTTACAAATTCTTTCTTTTGGTGCTCAAGTGCCTGAAAGATGCATGTGTGAAGAGTCACTCAATCAAAATCTCACACTATGCCTGCCCAGAACATCCTGTTTTAGTGACTACACACAAAAGGCTACGGAGACAAACCGAGGAAATGGGCCTAAAATTCCAAGGGAGCAGAATTCATCCCTTTAAGAAATGAGTTACATTTCCTTGCACAGATGCTTCTGCAAACTTTGCGTACACATATAAAAGTGTAACATTCACATAATCAACATATCATTTTAACATTCTACTAAGCCTTAATGTGGCCATTGCAAATTAGAAAATCCACAATATTTTAAACAAAGTCATAAAAACTATCGGCTTCGTGACAGAAGATTGATTTTCATTCTATTTGCTTCTTCATCTGAAAAATTTGTCTCAGCTGCAAGTTATTAGTGTTGAAATGATATACCGCTCCCACCATCTAAGCATAAAGACTGCGGAAACTTTAATATTTATAGTTAATATGTTTATATTTCTGACAAGACAGCCCTGTAGGTAAGAGTGCAATTCACATACCCTCCGGTTCTGGTATTGATATTTCTTGAAGACGTTATTTACTGTGTCAAGAAGTTCCTTTATTGCACTGGCAATGTCCCTGTTTGGCAATGAAAAGATAATTGCAACATCTTTTAAAACGAGACTCACTCAATGCAGAATTTTAATCACTTCCAAAATTATGTCTGACATGTATTTTTCTAAAGGATTGGCTGATTTTACAGAATGAGTTTTAGATACAGCACAGCAAGGCTGAACATTGAGAACTAATTAGATTATGTGGCACTTCAGAGTCCAAATTAGGTTTAATGCAGTCTTCGTATGCAGAGAGCCGGCACCTGCCCAATATGGAAATCTATGCCATGCAGCACCATTAAACCGCAGGATCTCTCGCCTACTTTTACAATCAAATTCTTCCCTCAGAGCAACCGTGAAAATTACAGAGAGACACACAAATGGTATTTCACTGTAAGGGAAAAAATGACCCTTGATTCGCCTTGAACTGTTTTGTAAGCACTGATCTCTTGATCTCTCTTGTCCTAACTGCAGTCTCTAGACATTTAAATAAAAGTAAACCACCTGGAAGAAAACTGTCACAGCAAGTATCCTCAGAGGCAATCTGATGTCAGCAGTTCCCTCTCAGGAGCAATGGATACAATCTCGCCTAGTTTGTAACTTGGAGGGATTTAAGGTCACTTTATAACAAGACGAAACAACTCTTTTAGTGGGCCAAGAGGTCAAAAGGGAAAGAAGTTAGTGAAGGCCACATTCTTTGCATGCAACTCTGATGTTTCCCACAATTACAATTAAACCAAAAAAGCCCTGCCAAGAATCCTTTTCAAGATAAAAATTATAAGGAAGGAAAGATCCAAGCAAGTGTCTCTACATAAAATTGGCCTATTCCAAGAATCCCGGAGTGACTGAGCGTATTCACGTTTTCAGCTTTCCAAACAAGTAAGGACAAGAGGCCTACTTTAATTTCATTGTAATTCATGTTCCATGTCCAGATGGGGTCAATTAAGAAGCTGCGTTCATTACCACAATGAACCCAACATCACACACAAAAAATATATCAAGATTGCAATTTGGTTGATCAGCTTGTATTGACAAAACTCTGGAAGCTTTAAAATAGAAACTGACTCGTGCCTTGCCCTAAACTTCCAGATTTAACCATCACAAGGGACCCCAATCAAGCTTTCAATTACAGTGACAAAGAAATGTTCAAGGGATAGTTCTCTCCAAGCCATTCTGAGTGCACAGCACAAAGCGAGCTCTGGTCGAGTTATACTGAGAACAATGGAATGCTGCCTACGCTGAAAAGTTATAAATATCAGCTCTGAGCATCTCTGGGTTCGGCACAAGAAGAGCTCTCAAGTGCTTCTAGAAGCTGACACTGCGTAGTGTGTCCACGGCAGCAGTTTATATGCAACACAGATATACTGTTCTTAAATGAGTAGGCACACCCTAACTGTTTGGAGGCTTATTTTCAAGGCAGCCTTCAGTATTAATCTGAACCTGAAAAAGACTGGCTGCAATCCCAGTACAGAATTACACACACTTAAACCACTGACTGCAATAGGTGTACAGCTCTGTACTGTGCTGTGAGATTTTCCTACAAATACAGAGAGGCATAAAAAACTAATTCCATAGTTGGCAATGCTGAAGCCTCAGCAACAGGGTGCTACAACAACCAATATCTCAAAGTGTTTTTTAAGTCAGAGGTCATAAATCAGAGGCTGAAGAATTGCATGTCTAGACATCACAGGAGACACTCTTAGGCAATGACAAAGCTCCAACGAAGGTATGAATGCAGACCGACAGGCACTTCACCTGCCACCAGGGCTTTCTGAGGCGCAGCCAAAAGCAAGCTGTGCCATTAACAACTCTGTGCACATAGTTACTACCGATGAGTATAATTAGTCATTTGGCGTTGTGGACATTGTCATGATCTAGGAGAGTTACACAGAGGTTGTAAAATTTGAGCTCCTAAGATCAAGACCTCTTACAGTACCCAAGACATTATTTCTTAACTGAATTCTTTATTATTCCCTTATCCGGAACAGAAGGATCCAAGATCCTGACAATCTGGAACGGTTTTATGCATCTCACCATGTGCTAATCGCACATTAGGGGGTAACACAGTATTTTGCAGCAGGTGCCTATTTGAACACCTGCTTGGAATTTTCCCAGGACACTCACTAGTCATATTGTGTTACGGATCATTTACAACAGAACTGTACATGCAGCTGAGGTTCTCTCAAGCCCTGAAACTTTGTGCCACCATCAAGGCTGCCATTTGGCCCATGAGAAGATCAACTACCCAATCATGTTCAGTTCAATGGTCAAATATTGGTTGACTATTTAAAGTATAAGCTCATTAGACCAAAAGGGCAGAAGCTCTGTACAGCACAGCATCTAGGAAGCCACCACAAACAGTCTTGCCAAACATACCTCGCAAAACGATAAAACCCACCTTTACAGTCCTCTTATTAGAGTGAAGCTATAGGGGAGGCAATGTGTATATGTATGTGCAGTACTTTACAAGTACAGCAACTACCTCCATGTAAATTTGTGCTATCTGTCAATGCTAGGTTTCATAGCTGTGCATATTTGCTTCATGTTACCTCTAGAAATCCATGTTCTTGTTAAGAGGGGCCTGAAATCAGAAGAGCAAAAAAAGAGTAGGCTTTTATACCCCACTTTTCTCTACCCTACGGAGTCTCCCAGGGGCTGACAATTGCCTTTGCTTCCTTTCCCCATAACAGGCACCTTGTGAGGCAGGTGAGGCTGATAGATTTCTGAGAGGTCACCCAGCAGGCTTCATGTGGAGGAGTGGGGAATCAAATTTGGCTCTCCATCTTAGAGTCTTCTACACCACATGGGATTAAACAAGCCGTCAATTATGTGGCTTAACTGGGAACAGAACATGCAGGAGGAGTTCCTTGCAGAAAGTTACAGAACAGGGGCCTTCTGCTCCTAAATGGTGTGTGAATCCATGATTCCTGCAAGATTGGGGAGCGAGGGGTTTTCATTCTTACCCTCCTGTTACCCTAGGAGGGGGGAAAAATTGGGCGCTCAGTGACACAAGGACATTCTTGACTTCAAGGAGCATTAGACAACATTTGACCTGCCAGCTGATCAGAATCCCCAACAGCAGATGCTGCAAACGATTTACTTTGATCAGCAAATTGGTTTAAGCAGAAGCACTTACTTGATTGTCTGAAGAAACCTCACTCTGTCATTGATCTCGTCTGGAATCTTACTGAGGATCTGTTTAAGTGCTCGTGCCTTTTCATTTAGATCCTGGAATTCTGGTTCTGGCCTTTCAATCATATATTCTGATGAAGGAATAAAAGCACTGGTTTGAAGAAGATTTCAAAATACACTAAAAAAACATTGGGCAAACTCCCATCAATTCCAAGCATGCTCTAAGTAAGTGGTACATAAAAACTGAGCTATGAACTGATTCTGAACTTGCACAGGAAAGGACTACATGAATAAGCGACGCCTGAAAATTGCATTCTGACAACTGAATACCTTTGACATAACTTGTATAGCACAAGAGATTACACAGGTGTGTAAGAGATATTTGAGAACTGGTGAAGGCAGTAAATGACATCAGTCTTGGGCCCAAGCCCCACCTCTGTTATGGACACTCTGTAAGGAAAATTTTACTCTGCTTTTTTAACAAAGACTTTCACTAGCACACTGGGAAGAGGCTTATCTTCCACCTTTCTTCCAGCCACCAGTATATTACACAACTGCCATGCAAGATGGACTGTATACATTTAAAACTTGGAAGTTTTGATATAAACATTCTTCACATAGCAAGTATATATGGAGAGGGGGGTGACAACAATTGGCGTTCGGCAATCAAAGATTCACCTCTGTTTGTAGAAACAAAGTGCTGGCCTCAGTATCTCCGGTCAAAGATTTGGCACCTTGGTTTGGGGACAAAACGCCACCAAGCAACAAATTTATAACCATATGCAGGAATTACCTTCTACATCATCAGCTGCCATGCGCAGAAGAGACTCAGTAAAATTAACTTCAACGCTTTTTTTCTCCAATATTTTTATGATGATGTCTTGCGTGAGGCCCGGATTTTCCTTTTCAGCCTGCAGTTCCAAAAAACAGTCGGTTTATTTAGTGTGCAAACGGACACCCTGGAGGCAAATGAAAGCAACCTAAAAACAAAGCTGTCGTTTCAAGACAATGATTTTACAAGCCAACTTAAAAGAACTGGTTCATCAGAAGCACACCATTGTATATAGCGTTTCTCCCCCAAAGGGAAACACCTTTTTTCTTGGAAGACACCAATATTTTTCATCGACAACTTTCTTCTGGGTCATACTGTGTACCAGACACAGCCTTTCCTTTTTGGTGTTAACTGGAATTAAGGGAGCAGATTTATACACTTGTAGGCTGTGGTCATACAAGGAGTTCGCACCGATATAGATTGTGTAACTGTTGTGGATTTAAAGAGCATGATCAGACAGCAACATCTGCCTTCCGTGGTCCAGTTGTCAGCACCCCACTTTGCCTCTATTTGGAAGTGGAGTAATCAGGAAAGTCTGGTATTCAGGGATGCCAGTGCTTCCACTCTGCATTTCCGGCTGTTTGAACTCCCCTCTTGTGAAGTCAAGCCATTTGGGAAGTCTGAACCTTCCTTTCCATTTTTGCCTCCTTTTTTTGGGGGGGGGGGTCAGGTAGCCATGTTCACATAAGTGCATAATCACCTCTGGCATTGTCAATCACCTGGGCCAAGTAGTCATTCTGGATCGGGAGTCCCTGGGGGAGTTGTTTTTGAGCAACAAATCCCCCCCCCCCGCAAAAACCCCTCTCTCCTGTTTCTGCATCAGAGTCTGAGAGCATCCCATGATTGACACAAGGGTAAATGCACTGAAGTCAATGGGACAACTCTCATGTAAATCTGCACTCCCCCCCTCCCCGGCCAAGGGAAGGAGGCTGAGAGGAGCTGTAGTACTTGGCAGAGAGATTGTGAAGCTGTCAAAAAGGAGATGGAGCTTCGAATACACAAAACCTCCTGCAACTATTTAAACCGACGCAAACAGAGGCGCAGCCAGATCATGCCAAGCCTCCAGTGTGACTGCAACCATATTAAATACCTATAACCTTACAAGCTACACAGGATTAAGGATGCTCAGCTTGTCATCATAGTTTTCAAGATACATGAGAATTGCTTTTCCTACAGCTAGCAAAACATTCATCTTTCAAGAAAAGATAATATACTCCACAAAAGTGTCAAAGGGAGCTGCAAAACCTCAATTTTCCTACTTCCCATTTCACTCTTACATCTTGCACATTCTTCAAGTGCTTTTATAGTATTGATTTCTTTCTCCCAAAAGCTAAAACACATGAAGTACCAACATAACAGGAAGCACTAAAAGCCAACTACATTAGTAAAGGCTATACTTCAGAGGAAGGATTAAGATTCATGCTATTTTATACAGGAATACTCTGCACATGTCCCTATTTAATTTTTATCCATACAAAATTGGGAAGTTGTCCTCTTCATGCCACATACTTGTTTCTCATCACAGAATTAGAGTTTGAAGGTCTTCGACAGTGAATGACACCAAAATCCAGCATTAGGCAGAATATCCTGCACCAAGAAAAGCCAATGATGCAACTCCAGAAGCTTAGCCACGGAAGGACCATCCCTCCAGGCTCAAGAAGTTGCCTCTTATCCCTGATTCAGGAGGAGGGAAAGTGACCCAAGAGAGGCCTCTCTCTACGAGGGACTCTGCCAGCTCAGAAATGACATCTTCCATGAGCCTTATTAGCACCCCTTACTGACAAATTTGCTTGAGACCTCCATGGTCAGCACACTTGAATAATCCCTGCCTGTTCTTTTTCCAGCAACATAAAAGAAGATTTTTCTAGACAGCCAGTTCCTCAACTTAATTGCTCTTTATGAGCCTCGGTCCAAAGGACTAGCTCCAAAGTGTTCAGCCCATCTTGACTTTCTTTTTCCCCCTTTTCAATGGCACTCTCTAATACAGTAGTCCCTTCCCATTCACTGGAGATCCATTCCCTGGATCACTGCAAATGGCAATATCCATGAACACTGACAGGTAGAGCTCTGCTACCTCCCATTAGCAAAACAAAGTTTCCCACAAAAATTTAATTTTGCAATCATTCTGATGATGGCACAGTGGGAGTAAACACTAGCTGGAGGCCGCCTCATGTGACTGGACCCCAAGTAAGTAAAACTGTGAACCACCAATGACATGGGTCTATTTGTACTACACAACAAGCCAACTGCCAACCCTCAACATTTCTTCTCCCTGTCTCCAGATGAAGACATTTATTCAAGAGTTCCTCATACCTTTCACTTGAAGTCATTCTTTTTCACCCTTCTAACTCATCCAAGTCCTTTCTCTCCCATTTATTGTCATCCTTTCAGATGTATGGTACCTAGCCAGTATTTTTAAAACCAAACCTGTAATTGCCAAATAAGGCAGTAATTTGACCCTGGAAGCCAAAGCCTTCTTGAAACCACTGCATAGCTACCAACAGGGGGACAAAAACTTGGCTGAAACCTGCCTATGATGGCAAATTCATGCTCCAGTAATTCTAATTGTCAAGGTGACAGAATGTAGGATATCAAGTCTACCAAGTTATCCTCTCCAATGTTCAAAAAAAAAAATAACACAACCAGAACATCTAGATGTACACTCTTTTCCATGTAATGCCATAAATGTAGCAACTTTTTATCCATAAGCAAAAGAAAGACTACCTCCACTAGCTGACAAAATGTGCACCAGATTTATGCTAAGTACACGCATTGTGCAATACATAGCTGTGAGGGCTACAGCTAAGAAGCAAAAGATAAATAAGGAAACGGGTACTGTGAACTTCTGAAATGTGTAATATTAGGGTGGACCCTAAACAAGTGGAGCAGCACTCATGGAGGCAAAGGTTCACACTGCAGCTTCCTGTGTCCTCTGAAATCACACCCTTGAGAGCTGATAGATCTCTGGGAACAGCATAGGGGGCAAACTGGAGGATCGAGGAGGAGGGAATCAGTGAAAATCCCATCCCCCTGCACAGGCAGAATGGAAAATATGGTTGGGATTAAACACGCACTTAACCACTACACCAAACTTGATTGCAGAAGGCCCCAGTTTTAACCTCTGCACCTCCAGTTCAAATGATCAGGCATCAAGTGATGTGAAAGACCTTCAGCTGAGACCCTGGAGAGCTGCTGCCAGTCCGAGTAGACAATACTGACTTTGATAAGACTGATGGTCTGATTCAGTACAAGGCAGCTTCATGGGTTAATCTTGGAGAATGGGGACTTGTGGACTATTCCACCTGCCTCTTCAGGCTACACATACACACAAACAATGGAGTTAACTTTTCATGTCCGCACCACCACTTCATAAGCTGGCTCTGCATTTCTGGGCTGGCTGAGGAAAGAAATAAGGAGCAGACAATGGAAGGAGTAAAGCACATGGGCAGCAAGGTTGGGATACCTCATCACTGCACCATACTGGACGGACTTCTGTATGCACACAAGAACATATGTAGTATAGTTTGTGTGCTCAACTGGCATTTCATATGTGAAGCTGCCTTATACTTCAGTATACCACCAAGTTCAACATCATCCACTCGGACTGGCAGAGGCTCTCCAAGATCTCAGAAAAAGTCTTCTTCAGTCATCTTACTCAATATTGTTTTAATAGTCAGGGATTTCGCCGGGGACCTTATGCTTGCAAAGCATGAGCTCTACCACTGAGCTATGGCCCCATGGTAGATAGATGGCTTTCAGTCTCAATAAACTGCTTGCTAATTAGAGCAGGAATTTTATTTAGGGTCTCAAGGGAGGAGGGAAGGAGAAAAAGAAGAGGCGATGGATTCAGAACAGAAGAGCAGGAGCCGAATCCACCGCATCGTTTAATCTATTTTTTACATTTCAGTGTTGTGTGAGCATCACGTAGAGAGACAGTTTCAATTATTCTTACCTTAATAAACGCTGCTCTCAACGTCTGAGCTGCAGATAAATTTACGCGTTCTAGCTGCAATTTAAAAAAACCCAGTTACATTAAAACAAAGGATGCAATCACTGTTTTTGTTCTGTGACAAAAAAAAAATCTCATGCAGGGCCAATTCATGACTACTTTCAAGAAAAAAACAACAATCATGCAGTGAATTTTCCACATGCTAAAATGGCTCCGTGAACTATCCCAAGACCTTAAATTTATTGACCACCACATTCTGCTGGAATTTAACATATTAAGTGATAACAAAGAACGGCCTTCACAACAGTGGACGCTTCATCCCACACAAGTGTGACAAAGTGATACTGCGACGAGTCAGATAGAAGGGACAAAGGAGTGGAAAAGGATAGAGAAAATAATGGCTACTGGAATACAGTCCTACATTTTGCATTTCTGAACAGACTGTCAGATTATCAAGATGGTTATACATGCAAAGGAACTTTTTCACACTTACATATGTTAATTTACCATTTGGTGTGTATGTGTGCATATATATATATGGCTTTCTGGGAAGATTACCAATGACAAGCTGTTCCCCTCCGTACTGACATTAATCAAATCCAAGTCCTAGTTTCCTATATTGCCCTTAGTTTCTGGATTTCACAACATTCAGTAGAGGTCACTGCTGTCAGCCCAGAGTGACCACAGATGCACAACAGGAGGAACTAACTCTCCCTTCTTATTCTGTGGCCGCCCTAAACTGGGACACTAATTAAAACCTAACAAGTTTGCATTTCAAAAACTTGCTGAATGCTGGAAGCATCTGCAAGCCTGTATTTTCTGAAAACAGAGTCGGAATTAAGGAAGAAATTGGGGCAAACAAATAGCTAAAGGTTTTAGATGTTACTTACAGGGAGGGAAAAAGCTTAAGAGATAGAACTCATTAGGGCTGCTTGAAGGCCGAGAAAGAAAACTTCAGCATAAATAATGCATGCTGGGGTATTATTTGACATTTTGAAGGCAACCTCATGTTTCCCAACACTATAATGCAGAGAAATAAACTAGGAAGGCACGTTACCTCATTAAAGACAGGATACATAATGGCATAGAGGGGCATGGAAACCATAGAAGTGGTCTCTGCTTCATTCTTCATCTCTTCCATTGTCATCCTCATTCACAGAGCCACTCTCAAGGGAAAAGGCTATCGAAGCAAAAGACTCCTCATTCACCAAAGGGCTTCTTTTCCTTCCTTTTGTGCCTCAGAGTTCAGAGCACTTAAAAATATATAAACCTGAAAGGTGAAAAAGAGACTCCATTACAGCCAGTCCCTGTTTCAAGAAGCACTACCAAGATTTTAAGGCATTAAATCCATAGCTGCCTCCACTCAGTTTCCCCTCTAATAAGATCTGCTGTCTGATAATTCGTATGTAATTAAGGCAGTCGTCGAAAATTTATCACAGGTTCTTATCCATTTTTTTTTTGTGTAAAGAGCTATGGAACGTGAGAAATGGTGTCGTCAAAATGCTAAAGGTCAAAACTATTTTTACACTTAGCACAGGAATTATTCACCAATGGTAGTTAACTTCGTCATCCATCTACAGCTACTCTCGTGGAATGTTCAAATGGCAACTAACAAACATGCTAGCTGAAAGTATGTAGATTTTGCTATTTGATTCTATACAGCAGAATTCTTTGACAAAACTGGAATTGCGGTAAGTTTATAAAACACAGAACTATTCAAGCTTCTGTACCCAAAGTTGTTTTAAAATCAACAGTGGTCTAATGTTCCGTTTCCATACAGGGTGTGCCAGCAAATGTTAGATCAACAGCACACACAGCTCAAGTAACTGAATCTGACTTGAGAGGTTCTCCACCCTGCCCAACCCATTAAGCTTAAAAAATATTTAAAAGTGACTAGAATTTCTAGTAGTGGCACGAAGCATATCAGCAACCTGTTTTTATACAGCATATGAGAAACTGGAGAAACTGCCATTCACTATTTTTGGTCCCAGGTGGAATCTGTATTTTAAATTCACACGCTGGTTCCTAACACATTTCAAATATTTTTTTCAGCCCTCTCAGAAACCTGCAGAAGAGACAGCAATTTAGAAGACAGGGTATGTGTCTTCCCATTAACCCAAAATGGCAGCTCACAGATCCTCATCTGGTGGGTCAGGGCACGAAAAAGGCCTTACCCAAACATAAAGCGGATTGTTCAGGAGCAGGGGTCCCCAACCTTTTTGAGCTGCAAGCACCCTTGGAATTTTGAGATCGGGTGGTGAGCACCACCCCAAAATGGCTACCACAGGAGTCAAAGCCAAACGCAATGCCTCCCACCTCCCTTCTTGCTTTCGCAACACACTGCATGGCAAACCACACTGAACACATGTAATTTGCCTTACTCAGAGCCTGGCCATCAGTCTGTCAAGGTTAGTTTTACCTGTAGTCTGGCTGGATGC